TGGCTTAGGCGAAATAGAAATGGAACTAGACAGAACATCCGTTAAATGTTAGTTTCTCAAAATTTAGATACAAATTATGTTAGCTGGTGCACAAAATTTCTACTCTGTTTTGGAGCATATGTAATATGACTTTATTTTAATGTTATAAGGTTGGAAGATGCGGCACCCGCTGAAACGGTTCTTATGATAAAGGTGTATCCTTAGCAACTATATTTGCGTTGATGATTTCCATTCGAACTCATCATTCGATTATTTAAATTTATTTTTTTACTCCAACACTTATGTAACCCCTCATTATTTCTGAAAGAGCGAATGAGTGAGACGAAGGGAGAAAATCTGTATTGCTAAACCATATAAACACTTCGCCGTAAATTCCTGTTCAGCATTGCTGTCATCTAGTCCGTTTATCAGTTGCCATTCTAGCGAGTGAAAGGGAATCGAGGATAAAACGAAAAAGAAATATAAAGTGTTGATCGATTGATTGAGAGAGAGAGTGAGAGTGAGAGAGATTTGAGAGAGAACAAAATCCAGAATTGTGGGTATTGCTAAACTGTATAACCACTTCGCCGTAAATTCCAGTTCAGCACAGTGACAATAATGCAACAAATGATTGTAATTATATANAGATAGATAGAGAGAGAGAGAGAGAGAGAGAGAGAGAGACAGGGAGAGTTACTTCAAAATATCGAATCGGAATGTTGACATTTCACTGAAATTTTTGTTGTGCAATTCTAAGTTAATTGTAAATTTTCGACTTATAGTTCCCAGCAATATTTTTATCGTCGTTTTCTGTGTCTCCAATCGACTTATTTTATGCCCAGGTTATTTTTAAAATAGATCAAAGTTTCCCTAGATGAGAATGTTGCGAAATTTATTTGCTTTGACACAATTTTAAATTGGAAACCGCAATGGAAGGACTTCAAGTGGAGAACTTGTCAAAATCAATGTTTTGCCATTTAAATAAACATTTTGAGTTGGTCCAAGAAGAAACATTGTAAAATTTATTTTCAGTTGATGTTCATGTGATATTATAGCCTGATATACTTGTTTGTTGAGAAAAGATCTTTAGTGTGCTATATCATTTTTTTAAGGTAAACTTATTTTATGCACACGAAGGATGAAGTATTTTGAATAATTTTTTAAAAAGACATCGCAACATTAAAATTCAATATTTCTGAGTCCTTATTATAAATTTATTATAAGTGACATTGATGTAGTAAACAAAATCTCTGCTTTAACGTTTGACTGGATTATCCTCACAAAGAGCCTTTAAAAAACATGCGGAATTATTGATAGGATAAAAGCCAGGGTATAAAAGGTGCTTTTTAACTCTAACTCTCTCTGAAAATCGAATCGCAATAAACCACCTTCTTTATCACTGGGAGTTTATCTGACACCCCAACGTGAATACAATAATGGAAATCTTATTGCCCGGCTTTTAAGAGCTTTGAGAGTCTCCGGGCAGCAAATGGCCCATTTAAGGAAGGCATTGGCGGCGGCCGAACCCTTCAAATGGCAACACTCTCACCGGTGGGCCCAAAGGGACGTCCAGGCCCTTATTTCTATCAAAGACACGCCGCCTGACACATAACTGTTAAATAACTGAACATGCCCAGAAGCCGGCTGTTGTTTATTACGACCGTAAACTGCTTCCAGTAGGCGCTGGTTACGACTTCCTTTATTACAGCTATCATCTTTGCTACCTGGGCTTAAATGAAGCGCCGTTGTAATCTTACAGTCAAAATGTTAATTTCCATAATATATGCCAACCGCGGATTTTCCCGACTCTAGCTTTGCGTTAATTTATAACATCAATGAAAAATTTCGTATGGTTGGTCTGCTAATAGATAAAAACCTGTCTGTCGGCCATATTTTGTTTATATAAATATTTATATTCGATTGTAATAATCTATAAAAATTCATAAGCGTTTCGCTTCTCTCAAACTGCGACAATGCAACACTGAACGTGGCGTGAAGGAAAAACGTGTTTGATTGATATGATGATTGTTGATCGACCTGCAGGTAATCTAAGTGGAGTTTAAATCTTCATGGAGGTAATTAGATAGGGAAAGAAAGGAAAAGACTAATTGTTGGGTTCACCAAGCTTTTGGCAACTTATAGTGCCATCATCAGGGCCTATTTGATTAAAAAATTAAAAATATATAATATACAAAATAAATAATATGCAGTTAACAATAAACAAAATAAAATAAAGTACATACTTCCCCAAGAGTGCAGAAAACGATAACATGGTAAAACTATAGTATTGGGTTTAAGGTTATGAAGTACATGGCCAGCAAATTACATTAAACATGGTGAAAACAGTCATCTATATAAAATTATAAATAATTATTAATATACACTATTTAAATTAACAGAAACAATAATTTATAATAAAATGTAACAGTACCTCGCTAATAAAATTCATATGATTGTGGTTTCAACAATTTTGTTCTGACTAGCAATTTACCGGCAAATGTTACTTATAAGAAATTGCTAGTCAGAACAAAATTGTTGAAACCCCAATCATGTGGATTTTATTAGCGAGGTACTGTTAAATTTTATTATAAATTATTGTTTTTGTTAATCAAAATTGTGTATATTAATAATTATTTATAATTTTATATAGATGACTGTTTTCACCATGTTTAATGTAATTTGCTGGCCATGTGCTTCATAACCTTAAACCCAAGACGTCCATACTTTAGTTTTACCAAGGTAATCGTTTTCTGCACTCCTGGGGAAGTATGTACATTATTTTATTTTATTAATTGTTAACTGTATATTATTTTATATATTTAATATTTTTAATTTTTTTAATAAAATAGGCCCTGATGATGGCACTATAAGTTGCCGAATGCTTGGCGAACCCAACAATTAGTCTTTTCCTTTCTTCACCTATCTACTGACCTCCATGAAGATTGAAACTCCACATAGTGTTTGATTGAGTTAGAATGACCAATCCGGCATATCCGACAGTGCAACATGTAATTTTAAATTTGGTCTGGTTATCCAATCTTATCCATTGTCTGGCAAATTGGTTTGGACTTATCATTCCAATCCGTACTAGATCTTTTCAAATTGTAACTTAGCGCGATTAGCTGTGTTTATTCATATTGCAAGATTTCAACAGGATGTCAGAACAAACCAGATTAGATAGACTACACATCTACACAGAAAACAAACACTTTGAGCTCTGAAGATGATCTCAATAAAGATTGAAACGTTGGTCGACAAAGAAAATGTTTTTCTAAAATCTACGTCACACCAGACCGCATCTCACGATCTCCAAATAATCAGTTCCAAAAAACTACTGATTTTTTAATGCAAATGACCAAATTGAGCTTTAAAAACCATTGCAACTTTCATGAAAGTCCTTGTATTTTACTTCTTGTGTTCTAAATGAATAGATCAGATCCCAAAGAATAAAGACCCAGGGTGAAAAAGCAATCATAATTACTTTTCTGGAATGCTTCATGATTCTAATGCCATTCAACATGTCTTACTGATTTTCATTCGAAATGGTAAGTAAGTTGAATTAATCAACTTATGATGATTTTAAGTGTCCTCTGTACTCGCCAGTTTACTATTAACTTTGTCGCATTTTGGGTCTTCGCAATCTTCAGAGAGGAACTGCGGGAAAACAGAGCGTAATTACTCTAATGATAATCCCTAAATTTCAAAAGAGAAAAAATATCAAATCTAATTGTTACATTAGACCAGTAAGTCTGTCAATATTTTTAAAAATCTACAAACGGCTAATTACTAATATTTTTCTAAACAACATTGCTCTTTTGATGTTCTTTGGTTAGTGGAAGCCGTAGTGTGAGTATTTTGAACGGAAAAATGATTTCCGTGAGTGTTTATACACATATTGAAATCCTTCGACCTCTCTACTCAGACTCCGTCAAAACTGAGCGCTGCTAATCACGTTTTAAAGTGCTTTAATCAGGTGTTCCCCAGGCAGTGTCTTGAGCATGCTTTTCCACACACTTTCGGCCTCATAATGATAAAAGTCACAAACCGATTTTCTAATTTGCTTGTGAGTTGAGCAAAAGTAACATGTAAAAAGTTTCTTGACATAGCCCAGTATTAGAAAAAATGGGTCAAGTAAGGCGATAGTTCTGGAAGTGACTGTAAATTTATGCGCAACTGAATGTTGCCAATGAATCGCACAGTAAGATTAGTTGATGAGAACTCATCATTGCTTTCCACAAAAAAATGTCGATGTGGATGCCCACTACTAAATCCTCTATTCGACAGATTGATAACTATTATTGCCAATAGGGGTCTGCTCAGAATTCGCAAGTCAACAGAATTCACGTCTTCAAAAATGGCCGCCAGATTATTCATTGGAGCTACTACACACATAGTGTTTCTACAAAAATTACAATAAAAAAAATAAAATAGTCCTTTGGACGTCATCCCCGGTTTCATTAACGGCTGGAGCGGTGAGCTGATTAATAGGTAAAATTGGCAGAAGATTTAGGCAAAGTTAAAACCAATATTTCCTAGTAATTATTTTCGGGACTCCGTCTTACGAGATAGATTAGATTTGTTTATAGATTTATTTTAGATGTGTTTCATGTTAGGTGTGCAGGGCGCTTTATTTCCGTACTTTTTCATGAGATTTTAATGTCTATCAATTACAAATAAAACAGATATTCTTCTATTAAAATAATGAAAAATAATTAAATCAGGAAAACTCTGGAAGCATAATAATAATTCAAGCGAGTCGAAAGCGAACAACACAAGACCAAAGTACAATGAAGGCGTGACGTGAGGATTATCAGGATTATGGATCAGCAGGGGTTTGGGATAAAACAAAACCAATTTTCCCGAATCTAGTGAAAACAATCCGTAAAGAATAATGTAAATATTGTACCGCCATGCTCTTATTTCCTCTTGAACACGCTTATCCAACAACCAAAATATTACGAAACATTAATGTTTGCTATTTATAAATAACTAATTAATATTTTTTTTATTGTTTGTTTTAGCGACAACTGTGGAAGGGCCGATATTGAACATCTCCAGGGTGAATCGTCTGCACATGGGCGCTTATTTGTGCATAGCGTCCAATGGTGTTCCTCCGAGCGTCAGTAAAAGGATTATGCTTATCGTCCACTGTATGTTTTTTTAATTATTTTATTTTTTACGTTGTATTGGATGTTAATTTAACAATCTTCTGTCCAGTTCCACCGATGGTTTGGATCCAAAATCAGCTGGTTGGAGCGATGGAAGGAGAAAAAATGACTTTGGAATGCCACTCAGAGGCTTACCCCAAGTCGATAAACTACTGGACGGGGGAAAAAGGAGAAATCATTGCAAATGGTGAGTTTTTATTTACTTACATTACCTACCTTTTAGAGTGTTAGGGGTTGAACGGAGCTTATTGATGCAAAAACGGTAACGGTGGTGTTTAGTGACCGTTAGTCAATGATTATTCGGAGATCTTGAGATGCGGTCTGGTGTGACGTAGGTTTTAAAAAAACATTTTCTCTATCGTGCCAACGTTTCGATCTTTATTGAGATCATCTTCAGCTCTCAAAGTGTTTGTTTTCCGTGTAGAAGTGTCATTCATGTGACTCTCTACACGACTCATAAGAATGACACATCTGTACGGAAAACAAACACTTTGAGCGATGAAGAAGATCTCAAAAAAGATCGAAAAGTTGGCATGATAAAGAAAATGTTTTTCTAGTACGTCACACCAGACCGCATCTCAGGATCTCCGAATAATCGTTAAAACATACTTCATTTAAAATAATTAATAGTATGAATAAAAGACCTAGCTGTCGGATACCCCTGAAAAAAACGAATAAAACTACTTTAATGATGGTTTTGTTGAGACAATATTGTTGAAGGGTAATGAACAGAGATGAAATATTAAACAATGCAGCCCATTTTTAACTTTTTTGTTTTTTGAAATCAATCATTCCAATTGGGTGTCGGTGACACGGCACTCATAACTGCAAGCCCGGTAAGGTTTTCAAAAACACTGGCAGGCACCCCGAGGGTACATATAACTCCGCATTTAAAATACTCGCGTAAAAAAGTAAATAAAAAAAAAATAAAAAAAAGAAGGAAAGATTATGTTAGAGTGTAAGGAATGTTAGACAATCGTTTTATTGGCTTTTCTACTATTGAATTGATGCGCTCACTCCATCAATTATTATCACACTTTTTTTCAGACAGAAAATTTTATATTATTACTAGAACTTCAGTAATTCTTAGAGAGAATTAAAATGGTGTTGTTGAACTGTGCTTTTCTATACAATTTTTTAAAGGAGATTAAATACCGTAATTAAAATCGTTTTTAGACTTACCATATTGTTTCGATATCTAAAGAACTGACGCTATATGTGGAAAAGTGTTTTAAATACTTCAACGTGTGGAAATTGGGCGAAATAACAGTAAAACTGAAGCTATTTTGTTTTCTGAGTATAGATCCATAATTGATCACAATAGACAGTAAGTGCAAAATTACGACTCTACTATATAAGTGAAAAGAGCACTTGACGATATCAGGTTTAAAAAATTGCTTTTTTTGTTTGGGTCGATTTTATGTGCGATCTGTGAGAGATTTTATTAAATGAATAAGTCGAAATTTAGTCTGAGCACCGATCGAAATTCCTAATCACTTCATAAACATTTCAGAGCAAGGGCAATAAAGGCGAATACAAACCACAGCGGGTTGGGCGATTATTTGGCAGCGATCCAGCATGTTATTGAATGATTCTTCGCCAATCGAATCGTAAAATTCGAAATCAATTCATAATACAGCGTAATGCTTTTAACGCCAGGCGTTAATGGCTGTAATAACACGCTTTGATACCTTTGAAAGATAAGGATTTCCTGAGATTCCCATCGCCTTTGACTCGCTCGTTATTAATGGGATAAGGCCGATTGTTGGAGACGAATTAGGAACCTCCTTAATAGTAGACCAGTCCCTTTATAATCGGCTGAAAGGCTTTTCGCGGATTCAGCGAAACGTTGACGCGTCGGTCAATTTAGGAAGACGAATTGACATTATACACACATTAATCAATTAGAGGCCTCAAATGTCTCACGATTCCCAAACGATTAGCTGATTGTCGATTTTAAAATGAATGTTTATTCTACATTCATTGTTCTTTTTTCATGAGCAACTCGAAAAATAAATATTGAAATTAAAAATTGATTTAAAAATGAAGCACCCGCACTATAGAAAAGTCAAAATTCTCATCAATATTTAAAAGCCTATTCTATTATCATATAAAACAAATTATTCTTTCTATTTAAGGTCTTGATTGAGTTAAAACAAGTCAGTGTCACGAGCGGGATTCGAACCCACGACTTTCGGCTAAATACGCCGCTGCTCTACCACTTGAGCTATAGTGACTTCGATCCTCCCGGACACTAACTCTCCATCTAAACCTTCAACCATTCGAATTTTCCCTCTTTTTGCCATTTTCAAATGTGGTGTAATGAGGATTGGATTCTCAGCGACTAATGAAGTGGCCACGGGGAGCTGTTTAGTGAAGTAATAATTCTTTTACTTCCTTCAATTAATGTTCTTTCTATGTAAGGTCTTGGTTGAGATAAAAAAGTCATTGTCACGAGTGGGAGTCGAAATGTTTCGGCGAAAACGACCAAGAAATGTTTCAATTAATTGTATGAGACTAGAGTAGTTAATCATTACAATAACAAAATGTATTTGAATGTACATTAAACTATTACCTGCATAATTGAACAATCAATAAATAATTAATCATAAAATAGGATTGGATTCTCAGCGACTTATAAAGTGGCCATGGGGAGCTGTTTAGTGTAGTGAAGTTAACTAAAGTAAAAATATCCATATGGAATTGATGTTTCACCAAATCACGTTCATCGTTTTCCGAATGAAATGGAACTTTTTACAAACCAAGATAATAACATGTATTTAAAATCGAATTGATCTTTTTTCAAAACAATATTGAATGCTTCCCAACCAAAATTAAATCTTTTCAACAATCTTACGCCGAGAATTAGCCGGCTTCGCTCCGTGGAGACGGGCGGAGTTACTTAATGAATTAAGAATAATGAACTTAATATTAAATTTAAAAAAAAAATGGGCTCCACGCTGTTTATATACACGGAAACAGCGAACCGTAAAGAAAAAAAAATAAAACAAAGAAAATTCAATAACAGTAAAATTAACAAAAAAAAGAACACAATATTTACATAAGGAAAAAAAACACATTTATTCCAATGGAAACTAAAATATTAAACATAGATTAATCTTAGTTCTCTACGGGTAACATTTTAACAAACTTACACACTAAATGAACCTAAATTATCATAAAATCTAAATAAACATTCCTTAAAAACTAAACTTTCCTGGGAACCAGTGTCCAGATATGCTTCTTTTCGAGGCGATTGAAAATCCCCGCTTCTAGGAATGTGGAGCACCTTTTCTGAAGTTGAGTGGGTCCGCGATCGCCTTCGTTGATCAAGGAATTGATAATTTTCTTTGATCCGGCCAGGCCGAAGCACACTGTCCTCTCTTTTTTTTTTCCACTCCTCTACTCTCTCATAAGCCTATCCAAGGCCGTCTTAATGTTGATTAAACCACCGCTAGTTTAGGTGGCATTACAATTCAGGAGGCACCCCTAGCCAAACAACAACAAAAGAAGAGCAACAAAACGTAAACAAGTTCTACTTATACATAGATTTATCTGTTTTTTAAATGTATAAATAAAATTAAAAAATGTGTGAATAAATTTAAAAAATGGATAAATACAATTAAAAAATGTATAAATAAAACATGAACTTATTAGAACAAACAAAATGTAACTTTGACGTTGTAAACATTGTTTTTTTACTATGTGGCTACAATAAAACACTTATTATTATTATTATTATTATTATTATTATTATTAAAAATAAAACCTTACTAACCATGTTACTAAAAGTCCACTAAGTTTGCTGTGGACTGTAAATTTGAACAATTTTAACTAATAGTGCTCCAGTTTTGTCTAATCTACGGAAAACAAACTATAATCAATTTCAGTCTTTCGAAACTCGAAAATTGTTGGGAGCTTTCCAAAATGGATAAAGATGATAAATTCCACAGCGCTTTAAATCTAACTAGAAACTATACTGTTCTTACTTCCTGAACCAAAGTTTCCAAAAATCTAAATTCGAATCTATATTCAGTTTGAGCTTATGAAAAATGTATAACAATCTATAAAATAAATTATTTTAATTGGAAACAGTTTATAAGAAAATAATTAAAGTGAATAAAAACGTAGAGTTATGTTTATATTTAATTTTTAACAGTCTACGATCATTTCTCTCATCGTAAGAAAGGTAGTTAAAACGTTTACGTCGTAAAATAAAACTATAAACAACATTACATTAACATAAAAAACACATATTTTTCAATACACTATTTGATAAAATCCTCGGTAGATATCATTTCATTAATAATGAAGAATATATTGATATTATAATAACTGTTTATAAAGCAATGGTAGAACATATGCCCATGATGTTATAATTGCATCATTGTTGCGTGCAAGTGCTCGTCAAACAAATCTGATTTGCCGGTTTCCCACGAAATCACCTCTAGTTAATATTCCACCCGGATAATTGAATTCATGAAAGTATAAATATTGGAGGCTCTATGCAGCCGTAGAGGAACTATTAAATTTAAGATGATCCAAGAGCCAAATCGTGCAATTGGACAATTTTTATCACGTTTTTATTAAAAAATAAGGAAAATATCGAATAGTTAAATGAAAAAGTGAGATATATAAATGTGATAAATAACGTAATTTATAAAACGTAAAACGTCCCAAAATAATTTATTTCTACTGATATTGCGTACAATGTGGACTGTTCAATTTTTGAAAAAATATTTAGTCGTTTATTGTATAAACAGTGGAAATAACGCCATCTTTTGATGCTCTCGAAATACCCATACACACAACGACGTAACAATAATCAACAATACTTTTGTGAAATAACAACGAATGAGAGATATTTGAAACAGTCCTCGATGAAAATCTACGCTGAAACGCATTGAAAAACAATTACATTACAATTTTATAACAATTAGTCTTTATTCACTGGAGAAACTCACTTGTTTGAAAACGACTTTCTTGTCAAAATTAATACTTACGTTTTAATTAATGTGCGATGTTTTGCAAATTGTAATTGGATGTTAACTTTCCCTCATTGTAACTTTGAGAAACCATGCAAACCAATTATTATATGCTTTCATCAGATTACCATTTCAAACAAAGTTTGCCGTACTACAATAATTGTAATTAATTAGTGGTATATTTTCTTAAATAACGGTTACA